CAGACTTTATTTTTCTTGTCATTTTTCCCTAAAGTCCAGTAATCACTGACAGGGCATTTACATTGAATTAGGTATGTGTGTGGTTGTGTGTGTGTGTTTGTGTGTGTGTGTGTGCATGCATACATGTTATATGCACACAAACATTATTTGTACACACATACACACACACACACACACATACATATGTATACCATTTAGAGATGACTTGAGGTTTACGGGAGGGTCTGCTTAAGTTTTGTGCAGATGCTGTGCTTTAATAGGGGAATTGAGCATCCTGGGTAGTTGGTGACCTCTGGGTCTCCTGAACAGATCCCCTGACCATTCACAGGAACCACTATGTTATTGTGCCTGAAATTACACCATGAAGGTGTTTCCCTCAAGGGTGCTTTAAAAGAGCGTGTGCTGCCAGAGAGAAACAGTGAATTCATTGACACTGAGGTGTAATTGACTTGCTGACTTGCACATCTCTGGATTCATTTAAGATGTCAAGGGGTTACTTTAAATGCTCTAGAATTTTTTCTAAATGGGATAAAAGTAAGCTTCCACCACCCACCAAGTTATACATCGAGGAACCAATTTTTGCTCTTTTTCAAGTTTAGAGATAAACACTTTTCCTTGTTTTCAAAATAATTTTAAATTTGCTGTTGACGTTGGCTTGTTTCACATTCTTCATACAGAAAAAGTTTTAGACCCACACTTGCCTAATTAAATTTTAATTAATTGAAATTAAACACAATTAAAAATTTAATTCCTTCATCGACCAAGCCTTATTTCAATTTCTGAATAGCTGTATGTTCCCAGCAGTTACACACTAGAGAGGATGAATAAGAGAAGAATTCCTCATTCCAGAATGTTCTATTAGGCGACTGTAAAGCAAACATCAAACCCTAAGTTACTGACCTCTTCATAGCATTGGTGTTGAGTTGAAATGGCCACTGGAACATATTCTATGTTAGATGTCCCCAAGAGCACAAAGCCCCTGTCCAGGGAGACCATACAGGCACAGATATAAGAATGTCCACTGAGGCATTATTTGTCCACTGGCCAACAAACATGTCTACCCACAGGAAACTGGATAATAAAATGTGAGATTCAGGTCCATAATCTCTTCCCTTTCCCCTGAAATTAAAAAATCTCTGATGACCAAAGGGCT